TGTGTGTGTGTGTGTGTGTGTGTGTGTGTGTGTGTGTGTGCGCGCGCTCATGGAAACTGCTTTGGTTTAATAATTTATCCAGAATCTGGTTTTTGTTTTAAGGCTCCTGTGAAAGCGCTTCACGTTAAAGGTCAGGTTTTATTTGCGTTGTGTGGCAACTTTAAGTTGAGCTTTAGATGTTTGTTGTGATGTGAAACCGAGCCGCGTGTTTCAGGACGTCACCTTGAGTTTTAGACGCCAGTGATTTCACAATTCTCCGTCTGGTTTCTTACAGACCAGACGATCGATTGGTGGAATAATTAATGATTAGATATTAATTAGTGTCAGTCACAGTTAGATGTTGAATTAAATCTGACAGAGCAAACTGACGGTGAAATCAAATAAAAACTACAAACATACATTATTCACTGGTTTCATCTGAGGTTTCTACATCTCTCTGTTCTTGTATCATCATAAACCAAATACAAACGTCAAGAAACGGAGACATGCTCGTGTTTGCTCACGAGGACAGGGGACGTGACCTTTGACCTCATGGGTCAGTTTGAGCGGAGCGACACAGAGGAATCAGATTGAAACGCGGTGAGGGAGCAGCAGAGCAGAGCTGACACCTCTGTTCAGAGATTTGTCTTGTTAGAGGGGACGATGCACACACACACACACACACACACACACTTAATACAGTCAATCAATTCAGGACAGGTAATTTGTTATTTCCACACCAGAGTCTCTGATATGAGTTGATTTGTGTGTGTGTGTGTGTGTGTGTGTGTGTGTGTGTGTGTGTGCGTGCGTGCGCGCTCTTCAGCAGTGGATGTGTGAAAGGTCAGAGACACATTCTGTTTGTTGATGTCCTGCTGTCTTTTAGTGTAAAGGTCAGTGCTACTGGTGTGTGTGTCTGTGTGTGTCTGTGTGTGTGTGATGAAGAGGTTTACATTGAGTGGCTGTATTGTGCTGTTGTTGTGATACTTTATTTGGGGAAGTGCAGCGATTCTTGTTTTCTTAATAAATGGATTTGTTACGTTCGTTGGTTTTGTCCCTTTGTTCTTTTTGGAGGAAGCTCGTCTTCAGCTCTCCAATCTCCTCGTCTTTCCAAGTGGACCTCTTCGTCTTCCACGTGTACGGCTCCTCTTCTTCATCCTGAGACATTTGTGTTCTTCCAGTTTCACGTCCGTCACGTGTTAGAATCCTCAGAGACACGTCCACTCGCTCACTGAGAAGGTTCCACACATTTTCCTGCTGTTTTACTCGGAGGCTGCAGGAGACGTTCCAGAAAATGTCCAGAGACTCTGACTCAGACAGCAACACATTGACTTCAGACAGATCGTAGCAGGGCTCCTTTTCCACAGAGTCAGTGTTTTGAGAAAGTTCAGCCGACTGCTGATGGAGTGAGACGTGGCTCCTCCATCCTGTGGACTCGTGGTTGTGGGTTGTTCCTCATTCTGAATCACCGCTGTGAGCTTCAGATTGAGTTTTCTGTCTCTGTCTCCTTTCTGCCTGGTGGATCAAGGCCTCCGACATTCCTCCCATCGATTACTTCCTGCCGTGTCCAGGCCTGCGGAAGAATCCGTCTGGGACACATCAGCCCGTGACCCGAACCCGATCGGCTCAAATCCATCCGCACGGCTATCCATCTTCTCCTGGGTCCAGTCCTCCACCTTGTCATCCTCCTCTGGATCAACAGGCTCTTCTGCACCATTCGTTCCACAGAGAAGTAGGTGGATAGTGTGTGTGTGTGTGTGTGTGTGTGTGTGTGTGTGTGTACCCTGCTACTCGAAAAAATGGAATAAGGACTGCAGATTTATACCAGCCCATGTGACTTGACCTTTCCTTAACTTTACCCAAGTGTCGAAACAGAGCCATAAAAAAGTTCATGCTGCAAGTGTGTGTGTGTGAGTGTGTTTGAGGACATTATACAATAATAGTTTTTCCTCAGCATCATAATTTTGTGACTTTCCAGATACATTCATTAACGTTCCTCATTATGTTCAGAACAAACTGAGGTTGGACGACATGTTTCAAATCAGCAGCGTAAAGACTTTACTGAGCTGCAGGAAAAAAAACTGACGACCTCCATTAAAACAGAGTTTTTATGTATTTTAACTCGACTAATAAAACATGAGTGACTTGCAGTTCAAAACTATGTGATGTAAAACTAGTTTCAGTATTTTCACTCCAAACAAAAAGGGTTAAATATGCTGCAGTTGCTCAGATGCGGCAGCAGTATATTTATTTTTGAATGAAAGTGTTTTTTTGCCTCTGACCTCCCTCTCACTGCAGAGAGACAAAATTCCACTGAAGGTTTTTAGTTTTGTTTGCTGTGTCTAATGTCACACTCGAGCCGAGGATGTAAACAAACCTGACTTTCTGCTTTAATTGGAGGAAAAATGTAAATGTGTTGAAGTCACGGGGAAGCTTTGATGTTGGGGTGAATATCTGGAGAAAGACCAAATCAAAGACTGCGGCAGCTGGACCGAGGGGAGCGTCGACGCCGATGATTCATGATGTTCATGATGACAAAGTTAGAGGCTCCGGTACAAACATCTGCACTAAACAAATCCGTGACAGGAGGATGAGAAATGTCTCTCGGCAGCGGTTGGTGGTTTGCATCCTTTAAAGTGGAAGATGTAGTTCTCCTCTCAAAGTCAGACAGCGACAGAAATGTAAATGAAGAAAACTCAAACAAAATAAATAAAGAATCAAAGCAGTGAAACATCGAGGAAGAGAGCTGATGATGGTGCGTGTGTGTTATCACATGATCTCTGCAGCAGAGTTAATACGTCACTTCCTGCCTCTGTCTGCTGCTCCACCTCTCACCTGAAGAATGGACTCGGACAGAGCGGCACTGAGACTTCACAGTTTCCTGATAGAGGAACCAGACCTGGCTTGGTAACAGTGTTAGCGACAGGGGGTGCTAGCGTTTGTCCTGCTGTCAGTGAAGACAGATTAGCCGCTGCGCTAATTGTTGAAGGGAAATACACAGGATACAGCAGCATTTCACAGGCCGTGTGCGTGTGTGTGTGTGCACAGAGATGTGTTTGTGCGTGTGTGCATGTGTGTGTGCACAGAGATGTGTTTGTGCGTGTGTGCATGTGTGTGTGCACAGAGATGTGTTTGTGCGTGTGTGCATGTATGCGTGTGTGCATGTATGCGTGTGTGTGTGACACCCAAATATCAACTAGGATGTCAAATAGATTTTTTTCTGGTGCGAGTGCATGTGTGTGAGTGTAGTAAGGTCTAGTGGGCTCAGCAGGTTCAGGAAGGGCGTTGTAGAACAGATGGACCACCACACGCACACACACACACACACACACGCACACACACACGCATGACTCACTTCCCTGGTTCTTCATTACAGCGTTTCTATTGAATCATATCTCGTCAGACGCTGTAGCTAATTGTTGTTGTTATTATTATTATTGATCTATTGATGATGAGTCTGCTGTGATTGGCCGGCTGGTCCAGTCCACCAGAAGGAAATGTCAGCTGTTGTTTTACCTGGCTTTGTGGGGCGGGGGGGGGGGTCAGACACCAGTGTGTCACTGGTCTCATTATGACGTCATGTGACGACGTGGTTCAGGAGCTTCTTTCTGTGGAAGAGAGGAACTTCCTCGCTTTTGACTTTTTAACTTTGCGGAACTTTTACCACCTTTATAATACACAAGAGAGAAACAGTGAAAAACATCACGCTGCAACCAAACCAGGTTCTATTTAATGTAAAGAACAAATGTGACGCCCTGGAGCACAATAAGAACGGTCTGGCTTTTATACACTCACCACTTGTTGGCAGGGCTGGTTTGTCTCAAACAATATCTACATGTAATGTTTTACACCTCAAGTCAAACTTCAGACTAAATCTGTAATTTGACTTTATTAAGAAATATTTATCTAAAGAAGAATTTGTTTTTGTCAAATCAGGACGATGTTCACATTTATTCAGTACTTGTGAATCTCTGAGGCCTTTTTCCACTTCCTCCTCAAAGTAAAGCTGCTTCTCACCGGTTGTGTTAGATCATCTTGTCTCTAACAGAGCACAGTGCAGGTTCTAATCATTAAAGTACCTGAATGTGGGTTTTTCCTCATTTTGTTCCAACACTGCAGCAGACGCCTGCACCTCTCTCCTCCCTTTTATCTAAATCTATGTTTTATGACCTGCGAGGCCCCTCGGCTGGGTCTCCTGAAGGTCAGCGCCCGTGCACAGTCTTCACTTTTTATGTGAGCCCCGGAACGGTCGGTAAAAAAGGCGAAAGTACGAAACATTCAGCGGCTAACAAGGAATCAGTGGAGTGTGTCGAGCTCTCTGAGGAGCCGAGTACTGATTACAGGAAAATATAGAGCGGCCGGTGATGTGCTCTGAGCTCGTGGCTCTGCTGCTTCAGTCTGTTCATGACTCCATCTTGATGTTTTATAATGGGCTCATATGTAAATATCAACAGTGTGTGTGTGAACGGGCGACATCACTAAATACAGTGGCATTATGTTTCACATTAGTTTCTCTTGAACACAATATCTCAAGAGCAGCATTAAGGGATTTCTATATTTGGTACGAACGTTCACTAGAAACCATGTGAAATTAAAAACTCTAAACATTTCATTTCCTTCTTCTGTAACTACAGAATATTAAAATCCCTGAAAACGTTGGTAGAAATCAGGCTGCAGACCAGAACCTTTGTTTGAACATGTGCAGGAGCCGGAGACGAGGGGAAGGAGGATCACATGTAGAGAACGAGTGTGGAGTCTGTCTGACTGGACCCACAGGTCAGCGCAGCCTTTCATCATCACTCTGCTGCCCATTACGTTTCAACACCACACTCACCAGACTTCACCCGTTTTCCTCCGACGCCTCTTTCATCTCCGCTCGCTTTTCCCACCGTGACAGCAGCTTCCAGGGGAAGAGAACTTGACGTGCATTAAAAGTCTTTATCAAGAGACCGGCTCCAACGTTTGAACCTCTAGAGGTAGCGGGACAGGGACGGGGTCCAGTATTAGATTTTATTTAGGTTCTTATTTTGTTAACGGGTCCGGGCAGGTTTGGGTTTAACTTCTCTGGTACAGAGATCTGCGGGTTTGCAAGAAATCGACCGTGCAGGACTCTGCCACCATGATAAGAGCTGTCTCTAAATGATGATGACCTTCAATGCTTCCGAACCTTTTATGACAGTAAAGACAAAAATCCCACAATTCTTTGTGCCAGCAACATTTAGTGTGAGGCATCGCTGTTGTTCAACCAGGGCAGAAACACAGTTACACCGTTTTCGTGCTCTAATGTTCAGAACACATCACTCCCCTCAGACTGTCCGTCACTGCAGCAGCTCCTCTTCTCAGCCTCTGTCTCCAACGCTTGGTTTAAGACCCGCCTCCTCATTAAGCCCAGTCTGCTCTGATTGGCCAGCTGGTCCACTCTGTTGTGATTGGTCAGTGTCATACCTGCTCTTTCACCCCACGGAGCTGAACCTGCTCATTGCTCGGACACAAGAACCAGGACAATGTTCAACTTTGAAAATCAACTGTAGATATTTTGACGAACGCTAACGAGATTTTAAATTTCAGGATAAGAATCAGACTCAGATGCTTCCTCCTGATTCTGTTCTCCAGAGATCAGCCCCCTGATCTGCAGCGTGCAGCGCTTCACCTCTAACTCCTCCACAAACACTTCGTCTATTTTCAGCCTCGGCAGATGCTGATAAAGAGCTGAAATGTGTCTGCGTCGTTATCTGTCGGTGCACAGTTGACATGTGTGTCTTCAATGACTGCGGTCACTCCGGGAGGAGAGCAGGTGTTTGGGTGAAGAAATGAGACTGAGTCGGCTTCTTCCAAATCCCCAAACACCGACAGTGTGAGACGCAAAGCTGCAAAATTAAGAGGAAAGAGAACTCAAACCTAACTCTGTGTGTGTGTGTGTGTGTGTGTGTGTGTTTGTCTTTGTGTGTACAGTATGTGTTTGCAGCATATTTTAAATTTCTAATTTGCACTTTTCCAACGTCTCTTGAACATATGTTTACTGTGTCGCAGCCAGAATTCACACTCCTACACACTCCCTCTCTCGCTCTTTCTCTGTCTCTCTTCATCTCACACACACGTTCGTACATCTATCTTTGGAATATATCATTCCCAAGCCCCATAAACTAACCTTAACCAGCCCAACTAAACGCCTGAAGCTAACCCTAAATCCAAGTCTTAACCCTCAAACCGCCCATTTAAAGTGGGAAAACCCCCCAACACACACACACACACACACGCACACACACACGCACACACACACGGTGAAGGTGTGAACAGGCAGAGCTCAGTCAAGTCGAGTTCACATTATTTTTATCACATGAATCTGAGAGATTCAAAGACGACCTATTTTTTAAAGAGGTGAAATGAGATGATTAAAGACTGTGGGAGTGAAATCGTCTGTCGCCATGACGCTAAGAAAAGTCTTCTTGTTCTTGAAAATATATTTTGCACCCTTGTCCATGTAGTGTGAGTCAGGGAAGATTACAAGAGAGGACATTTGATCTCCTGAGTGAATCAGTTCTTTAATTAAACTGAACCCTGCGGCCTTGTTCGGATCTGGTATTAACATGCAGGTCGACGCCTCCTGAGAAAAACTAAATTGATCGTCAGGGCGCCCGACAGTTCACCTGGTTCGTCGGCCCACGCACGTGTTCCTCCTTCAGCGGCTGATCCGGCTGCGTGTTCTCTCTCGCGCCCTTTCACACTTAGAAT